ATCAATGTTGCAAAATTGTGCTTAGGCATTTAGATTTTATTTTACCCTTAGGTGTGAAGGGGTTAAGTATTTGGATTTGTCCTGGAATCAGCTTCTTACAGGGCCTGTATAGCAGAGCTGGAATATGACCAGAACAAACAGTACAAGGAGCATGCTGAAACTGTAAGCAGAGTGACAGTGTGATGAGCTCATCACTGTGCTGCTTCTCCTTTCACTGTCTAGGCTGGGGCAGGTCCAGGACAACCTGGGCTCAGGGAGTAAACGGTTCTGGCCGTCAGACTGGAAATATCTAGCAGCAGCATAGTACTGTGGTGGAAAAATCTGAATTTAAAAGGTGAATACTGCAGCAAAGCTGCTTTTTAGTTTATTTTAGGGACTATTAGCTTTGTTTTTTTGGCTGCAGTTCAGCTTTAAGCAATTTAACCCATGAGCTGACACAGGCCATGCAAATGCTGCACAGAAAAAAAAAAAAAAAAAAATACAGACACGCATTTTCCCATTGGAAGTCATCACTGGATCTGCCTATTTCACAGTTTAGTATGATGGAGCATAAAATTCTCATAGAGGAACTAATGAAGCGTAACAAGCAATCTTCAATACCTAATATGTAGAACTTTTGGAAAAAATTTAAGACATCTATGGACTACTTACAGCCCTTGCAGTTGATCTAATGACCCACACACGGTTTTCTTTCAATGGACTGTTGAGCACCATAGAGATATAAACTGTTTTCTTCAGAAAGATACTTTTGTAAAGGGTTTAAGCATAGGGGAATGGATGCTCTTTTACTATATTACTATATTTATTACTACTATATTTATTCCCCGTGTCCCCCCTACCATTTTTTTGTTTTTCTTTTCTTAATGTGTTTGAGGTTTATGTGTAACATTTAAGTAGTACAATTGTAACGTCCAGACTAAGTCTGAACTGGAGAATGAAGTGTTTGAGACTACATTTCTCTCTCAATGAAAACAAAAAATACAGATATACCTTCTAATTAATTCACTTGTACCATGACAAGATGGCTAATAAAAACACACAGTACACAGTATGTTTTAAGATTTTATTTTCCAGAATCTTATTTTTGTCATGGTATAAAATAAAATGTGCCTTTAATACATATAATTTCTAATATATTCACACAATTCCAGAGTTGCTTTATGTTAGATATTTTGCTATAGCTTAGCACAAAGTTCATTTTATTTCAAGACCTTTCATTAATATTGAATCAGCAGCCTCTCCTAACTGTGCGTACAGACACATACAAGTACAGATCAAAACATTATATTAAAGAACAGGGTTTCCCTGAAACTTTATACTGCATTTGTGCTGGTTCATGATCAGTGCAAGCTGCTTTATGGCACAGTTTGACACACACACACAAAAAGGTCAGCTATCTACAGACTGAATGTAACTCACATGACAAACACTATGAACGATGCACACCAGACAAAAATAGATTTTAAGCCAACTATATTAAAATGCTGCATCCAGTGACTACACTAACAAGAGTTCCTGTGGAAATGACAAAAATAACTACCACAGAAAAATATATGGGGCTTTACGTGTAGGTCTAAATAAGTCATTTAGACCAAATGTTCTTAGATGGACTGACATATGCTAAAATTAATAAAATGATGACTGCTGATAAAAGGAAGATTCTTACTAGAAATAATTCTAGTAAGGCTAGGTCATTTTGCACTGCAAACTAATGCATATCATAAAAGGTCTAACCACTCTAAAATTGGGTGCATCACTAGCTACATACGTTATATGTACTTTGGCTTACAAGTAACATATGTATGTATGCAATATATGATGACTAACCAAGACATGGAAATGAGAAACATTTAGAATGAAGCAGAGGAGGGATAAACCATGTACAAATTGAGGGTTTCATAATGAGAAATTAGAAAAAAAATAGCAGCATTTCAAATAGAAATCAAGATCAAAATTTTACCATGAGGATGGAAGACAGCCTCCAAATATTTGTACAATGGCAGCATCAGTGTAACTTTTTTTTTCCTAGGTAACGTTCATACACTGAACATTTAAACGTGCTCAACAAAATGATCAAAGTAACAGCGCTAGTTAAGAGCAGACAGCATCAGCTTTTGCCCCCCTAGCACTGCTGTCAGCTAGTGTTGTTTTTAAGTCTCTATGATGAGAACAACAGTTCACTTTAAGTACTCTAAATCTGTTAAGTGCTACACATGGTTCCTGTAAAAATCCTACTTAAATCACAAATGAAATGTATTCTTGAAATATGTCATAGCAAAATAATATATTTATAAAATATATTTAAAATTAGAAGGGTGCATCATTAATTGACATAAAGGCGCTACCAAAATTACATCTCTACATATATCTGCATATAAACTGTGCAAGAGTCAAAGCTCCAGGGATTACTCAGAAACGGATATGTAATACACTTGAATATGTCTCACAATGATTAAAACAGAACTGCTTGTAACATTTGGTTCCTGTCACCTTAAGGGCATCAGTTAAATTCAATGTATTTATCTTTGTGGCAGATATTAAAGCAGAAGTCAAGGCTACTTTACATAAACAAGCGTGTATGTAGGGCAGAAACAGCACCTTTCAAATTGCCTAAGATTTCTTTAGAATCTCACCTCAAGGTATCTTTATGGAGTTTCCTGGCAGTCACCTGACCACTGTCTTACTCTCTCTGTGCTCGTGGATGAGGCTGTGAGTGGGGAGATGCACTGCCAGAACATTTCTTCAGTTTGCACCATTTCTGTCAGTCAGCAGGGACTGACAATAAATGGCTATAAAAATGGCAAACTTCAGCCGCTAGTGACAATGTTGAGCCACTGGAGGAGAAAGCTGCGTTTCAACATACAGAAGGCTAAATCTGTAACAATGCTGTAGCTAATTTTATAAGTGTTGTCACATATAGGTATGTGGTCACCCAGGACTGCCATTTCTAGCAGGAGAAGGAGACAAAAACTAGACAAGGAAGGATATGATGAATGGTAATGTACTTGTCAAAAGATATGCAGTTTTCAAGCGAACAGCCAAATTCATACTCTTGGGCTAAACTTACACTTTAAGCTAATCAAACTAGATATTTCTGAGGATGTTTGGAGAATCTGATGGTATATGGGAAAGCAGCTGTACAGCCACCGGGCATATGAATGAAGCATTCTTGCAGCCCTGTGGAAAAGGAGGAGCACAGAGAGGTAAAGGACACATGAATAGGTGGTATAGTATTCTAAGTAACAATCATATGAGGAGGCAGGTCTCAGTAACAAGTTATCCAAACTCTCAGTGATTTTCACACCAATGGCCGGACCATAGCTGGATATGTTGGGGTAAGGCTGGACCATTTAAGGCATTAAAAAAAAGGAAAGAGTTTATTCACTCTTTAAGGCAGTAAAATGAATCATCTTATATTTTCCCTTTTTAATCAATGTGTTAGTCTGGTTTTGCAGCAGAGGAGTATTTGGAGTAAATACTGAAAGGATTTGTGTCACTTAGCAATTATGCTGCCGAGCAAGCGTACTGATTTTATTTGCTTCAAAAAAAGTTAAAAGAAACTACAATCAAGTCACATCATCCAAACTTTGAAATTAAATAATGTACTTTTCAATCTGGAACCAGTATAACAGGTATAGTCTGGTATGTATAAGTATTAAACTGCCAATTTTTGCTACAGCAAATAGCACTAAGAAAAAGGATTTCCTTTTGCTCATGATAATCACCTACTTCCTTAGACTTTTTTTTTTGTTGAGCTAATTCAGAGGTCCATTTGTGAGGATGACCAGTCACAAAATGGTAATTAGGGAGGCAGTATGCATACAGCGCCATTGAGATGGTAATCAAGGAACAACTTGTACCTATTCCAATAGGCAATGTGGTTAGGACTTCAATATTGGTCACTGGCTTTAGAATGGACTAGTTAACAAAAAGGAATTTGGCCTACATAATTTGATCAAATTCTAAGCCAGCCATTTCCTGACCTTTCACTAAACACATGGTTTTCCACATGTCACAGCCAAATGCAGTTGCTAATCTATGAAGATCTGAAAAAAGGATTTAGTAAAACTATATCATTCCAAAGCTGGGAAGAGTGACAAATGCTAAACTGGTGATCTGCAGCAGCAGGTCACATGTTTATATGTCTTGGTGCTACTCCACACTTATTAATAGGATTAATTTGGCTTCATGACAGCACTACTTGACTGGTTTAAAGACTTGGGCAAGATGAAGTTATGATACACAAGTAACTCCTCATCTCTAATAATGCAATGCAAGTCCCCTCTTTCTTTGGTACTCTCCTATACTTCTCAATAAATTTGGGAAATGCACCAATGAAAATATGCGTATATATTTACAATGACAAACTGCTATACATATAGATCTAGTAATTGGATGCAATGTTTTTTTCTTTACAACTTATGATCATCTCATGTGTTTTTTTTTCCAGTACTTCTAGCACATAATCCATCATAAACCTACATCTGTGTATAAAACTTAAATATACCTCCCGTACCTCGCTTATCACTTACAGTATTTATCAAGTAGACATGGGAATCTTTAATATTCCATATTATTACTGAATATTAAAAAAAAACAACTCACAAAAATAATACATTATGTACAGCTCTTATCTAGATATAAAAGGCTATGCGATTATTCCCATCCCAAATGGTGATACTCTGGTAGTGTTACCTACTATATGCAGTTAAAAAAAAAAAAAAAAAAAAAATATATATATATATATATATATATATATATATATATATATAATTTTTTTTTTTTTTTTAAACGAGCCACAACTCACCATGTCACCAATATGACATTATATACAGCAGAATAGTCACATCAAGATGATGATGATGCATTGATAAGTATTAGGGCCTGTTATGTTCAACGCTGCTAGTGAAATAGCGGTCTAAAATATTGCTGTAGCTCTGATTTCCAGTATACATTAAAACTGAAAATGGATCTTGGTTTAGAAGTCAGAGGTTACATGATCAGACGTAGGGAAGGATGCCATATTGGAAGATTGCCATGACTCCCGCGCTGAAAAGACCAGCTACAGGTACAGTCACAAACCAAGCCAAAAAGATGTTTCTAAACAAACGCCAATCAACAGCTTTTCTTGAGCGGATCCAACCAACAGCCACCACCGATCCAACCTTGTGGGGAACAAAAATTAAAACAAATAAGTACCCCATAATGAAAATAACAAAAGACAAAATCCAATGTGTTAAAGTTAATTGTTCTATCTGTACTAGATGATTTTTTTTTTTTAATTCAAATAGTAACTTAAGGGTATACTACAACATAATGTGTTTGCAAATGAAAAATGATTCTGTAATAATATAGAGTATTACATGAGCTATAAACTAGTGATCACAAGGTAGATAAAATGGAGAGCAGTGGTATCAACTAGAACTAAACTTTGCTTCTAGAAGAAATATTTGCATATTGGAAGAGAACTTTATTAAATATTAGTCATGGAAAGGAAAAGAAGCGGTTATGGAATATAAGCAGATTAGAAATAATTTGCAGGTATATAACATAATAGAATACAATACAACAACAGACAGTTGGCTAATCATTTCAGCATTTTGCCTTTATTAAGCAACACTTGTAACATCCCAACACTTCACTGTATGTGCATAGACAAAACATATACTTCATCCAATGGGAGATAGTGTTAAGGTATGGCCTTTGCCACATTTTTATGATTTTTTTTTTGTCCTGTTGGCATGTTTCCTACTATAGACAAACACGTAGCAAAACACAAACATGTAATTGCACAGAAGTGCAGTTCAGTGATATGAAAGGTGTCACAAAGTGTTTTTTTTTTTTTTTTTTTTTTTTTTTTTTTAAGAAAAGGGAGCTGTGTGATGTGATGAAACATGGATCACACTGACCCGCAGCCAAAATTGCTGTGAGAGAAGCAGCGGTTTGGACTACAAATCAGTATTAATGGCTCTAAAACTTATATCCTACTACTTAATATGTACTCAACTAAAAACAAACTGTTCTCAATTCTGAACAGTAAAGTTATGAAAAAACAAAAAAAAAACAAAAAACTCTATACATACCCAGTGCAGATACCTTTTCAGGAATATCGAAGGTACAGGAAACCCTGCTTAAAATGTGTTACCAGGCCTGTATGTTATTGATGCATTTTAAAGACCAACTACCCTTGCACTTCCCATCCCCAGTCCCCATAGAAAGACTGAATGCTCATTAAGCCTGAGGAGGTTGCAAAAGAGGCAGCGTTTATTTACAGTCGACTCTCTCTAGCAGGCTATCTGGATTTGTCTACCAGTTCACTCCAGCCACCTTTTGCAAGCCATTTCTAACTTTGGTCGTACTCCTTTCCCTACCCTGTACTGCCCCATGAACAGCCCTGCACTGTATGTGATGAAGCAGAGGCTTTGGGGAGGGGAGAACAGTGCCAGCACTTCCTGAGACAGTGATTCAGGCAAGTAATACAGCCTCTTCTGCAACTTCTTAGCCTTAATAAGGATTTAACCCTTGCAATGTGAGGGGGCCCCACTGCAAAGGTTTTTTTTTTTGATGTGGCTGGAATTGGGCTTTAACATATGAAGGCAAATGTGCAATGACTAGCCATCTGTATAATTTTCAACATTAACACCAAAATATGTCTATTACCACTGCAAACCCAATACCTTGCAATGAGTGGAGCTTATGGGTATACCCACATTAGAGGATACTAGTACAGTTAGCGCACACATAACTTCAATGCAAAATCCACTGTAGGGAGAAAAAAATTACAAAAAGATAGTTTGAAGAGTGAAAGATAAGCAGGAACCACATGCCATGCATGCACTGAGACTAGTGGATGTGACAACAGGAGAGCATGCAGTTCTCAGTGACTGGCTGTAGATCAAATGTTTAATAGCACAAGTGGAATAATCATTGTCCTTTAACCTGACTGCACTAATGTAAAACTTTATAAGTATGCTGTGTTTATAACTAAAGGAAAGCCAGTATTGCTAGCCTCTTATCAAACGCCAATCTCTTTATGCAAACTTTATACTCGTTTATACCCATGTGCTAAATCAGGCAACAAGAGCAAGAATGGCAATTCAGTCCAGTTCTTTACCGGATACCCTCATGCCACTAAACATTGATCTTAACCACAGAAGGGGAAATTGGATAGTTGAACTACTCCAGCAGCAGTCACATGACAAAAGCATACCTTGCAGTGTGTGGTACTGATAGGGAGTCCAATATTTGAAGCTACCACAACTGTGACCGCCGAAGCCAACTCAATAGTGAAACCACTGCAGGGAGCATAAGAAAACACTTAAAAGTCACATTTTGCTTGCAATTGTCAACCTGCTCTGCAGGTCTTCAACAATTTCCTTACCGGAATAGTCTTCTCACAGAACGTTGTACAGCAGACAGACAATTCGTTCATAGACCACAACAAATATGCACATCTATATGTCAATGAATAAATCCAGGACTAGAAGAACAATACAGAGTTGACAGAGATACACAAGAACTTCACCCAGAATGTGAAATAATTCCGTAGAGGGAATCATCTAACTGAAACATCTGTTTTGGTGGCACTGTCAGAGGTGGGATTTTCACACAGTGCACTTATTCTTTTTGTTCCTTTGCTCTGACCTAAAACGATCCCACTCTCCCCTTTGACAGCTATATAGTTACCTAGATCCTATAGTCACAGCCTCCAATGCTTGTACATTTAGCGGTAAAAAGTTCTCTTCTCCTGGCTGCACCTGCGCAGTACAGCGCCATCGAATTGTACGGAGTTTGTCTACCTCCATCTCCCAGCTGGGAAATGCCTCTAAAGAAGTCTATATCAGGGCTGTAGTATGCAGGTGTTGCCAAGAGAGGCGAGATTTTTACTACTAGATGTACTGTAAACAAAATGTTGGGTCTTGGCAAATATATACCTGTGGAGGGGGGGCTTAGGATCATGCACTTTGAAAGCAAACAAGTTTGTAAAGAACTTGTTTGCTTTCAAAGTCCATGATCATTACCATTTAAATAAATGTCCACTTTAACTGCTTGGATGTAAAATTATATATATATATATATATATATAGTAATATTTAATGATAAAGTATAAATTACAGAAAACCTGTGAAAAACCTGGGTACTTTAAACTGACCATATAGCATTCAGTGAAAAATGCACACCCAGCAAATAATGGACCCAGAGTAACAGTCAGCTGAAGTTACTGTATATGGAAATCTTGACTAACTGTAAAAGTAGACTTTAGTGGGAATAGTCAAGAAATGAATACAATTTCAGCTGCTTACCTTTCTGATCTATGGACGGTTTTGAGATGGGACTTTCAGGTAACCACTGCTCAGCCCAACTGTATGTAACTGATGCAGTGCTCCCAGCAGGAACATCTGTCATTAAAACAAATAGTTTGTTTTGGACTAGCTTGGTCTAAACTACCCATTTACAGTCACAAGACTTGAATTTGAAAAATCTTCTTTCATGTTGTGTCTGACTGGTCGCCATCTCTTTCCGCAACTTTCTGGATTCCCAGCATGTTTTGTGGCCTCTGCTGGTCACTTTCAATTTCTAAAGACTACATATCCCATGGTACCGTGCTGCCTGCAAGCAGTGATTCCTGTGCCTCCTCAAACTCCTCCTCTCAGAACCACTGTAGTTCAGAAGTCAAAATCTGTGAAATATGTGACAGTACTGCCTACTCGCAGGGCATAATGAATAGTGAATATTGTTACAGATATCAAGGAAGTAAATGTGTGAGGATCTTCACAAAGTACATTTACATACTTCAGATTAAAAAAAAAAAGAAGGCTAGAAATAATTGAACTACAATGTGGAAATGAATATATGATTTTAAGTTTTGTCCACACGCTTAACCACTTAAGTCCCAGGTGCTGCTGGGAGGCTGAGGGTGCTATAGTGATCTATTGCTGCCCAAGTGCAGCCAGCAGTTAATCACTATTGTGATTTGTTGCTTCACAACTACATTGCAGGGGAAGGTGGGGGGGGGTCTTGGTCAGATCTCCACTGCCACCAACAAGTAAGCAAGTGTAAAATAAATCATTTTAATGACCTTGTCAAAATAGGCGTGTTTTTTTCTTACAAATAAATTTAAAAAAAAAAAAATATAGATTAATCCCCAGTTCCCAAAAATGACAATCTGAATGATATTTGCATCTACTGTGTGAGTGTCAAATGTTCACAGAAATTAATGCATTTCGATTTTTAGCGACAGCAAGCTTGTAGGAAGGCAAACCATCATGCTAATTTGTGTGCTCACCAACCTGACCCAATTTTATCTTAATGTTATGAGAACAGTTTATGAAAACCAATATGTTCCCTGGAAAAAGTACAAGAAATGTATTTTTCACTGTAAAAAATAAACAAAAACCCCTAAGATATTTACAAATCTGCTACCAAAGCCCTATTTGTCCAGTAAAAACAAAAATGAAAAAAAAAAAAACTGTATAAATAGATTAGGTAGGCTACAAATGCTAAAAAGGCATGATGTTCAGAACAGACATCACCAAAACTAAAAAACATGCTCCTAGGATTCTAGGAGGATGAGAGAAAAAAGCCTGGGAACTCAGGTGTATAAGAATTGTTCAGGGTCAGGTTTTATTTGTCGCAGTGCCACTTTAAAAGAATGTTCAACCCAACATTTAATATTCCTGATATGTGCCTTGTACCATGTGTGAAAATGTATCCTGTTCTCCTGTGTGTTCCTGGCCAGTCCCTCTGCTTTCCTATTAAAAACTGACCACACTAGGCATGAGAGCATAGCATGGTCATGCTGGGAACTCAGCCTGCTCCTCCAATGATCAGGCTTGTCCTGAAATACCTCCCCTGCACAGCAATCACTGGGAAGATCTGTGTGCTGCTGTTTCTCCTCCCTGACCCCCTGATGCAGCTGAGAACAGAGATTATATGGTCACTTATAATGAAAAAAAAGTGTGTGACAGAAGAATGGATTTTTTTTTTCTAAATCATACTTACCTAGGTGAATGCAGCATTGATCTGATGCTGCATATGTCCCCCACTGGCTCTACAGCCCTGGCCAAAAGTTTGAGAATGACAACTATTTCACAAAGTCTGCTTCTTCAGTGTTTTTAGATGTTCTATGGTATACTGAAATATAAATTATAAGCACTTCATAAGTGTCAGAGGCTTTTATTAAATTAAATCAAGTATATGGAAAGAGTCAATATTTGCAGTGTTGACACTTCTTTTACAAGACTTCTGCAATTCGTTCTGGCATGCGTTCAAATCAACTTCTGAACCACATCCTGGCTGATGGCAGCCCTTTCTTGCATAATCAATGCTTGGTGTTTGTCAGAACTTGTGGTGTTTTTTTTGTTCACCCGCCTCTTGAGAATTGACCACAAGTTAGGATTAAGGTCTGGGGAGTTTCCTGGCCATGGACCCAAAATGTTGATGTTTTGTTCCCCAAACCACTTGGAGCACCTTGCCATGAGGCAAAAGTGATAACTATCATGCTGGAAAAGGCATTGTTCCTCACCAAACTGTTCTTGGATGGTTGGGAGAAGTTGCTCTCGGAGGATGTTTTTGTACCATTCTTTGTTTACGGCCATGTTCTTAGACAAAATTGTGAGTAAGCCCACTCCCTTGGCTGAGAAGCAACCCCACACATGAATGGTCTAAGGATGCTTTATGGTTGGCATGACACAGGACTGATGGTAGCGCTCACCTTTTCATCTAAAAAGGACAAGGTTTTTTCTAGATGCCTCAATCAGAAAGGGGATTCATCAGAGAAAATAACTTTACCCCAGTCCTCAACAGTCCAATCCCTGTTCAGTTTGCAGAATATCAGTCTTTCCCTGATGTTTTCCTGGAGAGAAGTGGCTTTTTTGCTACCCTGCTTGACAATAGGCCATCCCCAAAACTATTCGCCTCACTGTGCGTGCAGATGAAAACCCACACCTGCCTGCTGCCATTCCTGAGCAAACTCTGCACTGGTGGTGTGCCGATCCTGTAGTTGAATCAACTTTCAGGGACAGTTCTGGCGTTTGCTGGACTTATGGGCACCCTGAAGCCTTCTTCACAACAATTGAACCTCTCTCCTTGAAGTTCTTGATAATCTGATAAATGATTTATTTAGGTACAATCTTAGTAGCAGTAGTATCCTTGCCTGTGAATCGCTTTTTGTGCAAAGCAATGATGACTGCGCATATTTCCTTGCAGGTAACCATGGTTAACAGAGGAAGAACAATGATTTCAAGCACCATTCTCCTTTTAAAGCCTCCAGTCTGTTATTCTAACTCAATCAGCATGACAGAGTGATCTCCAGCCTTGTCCTCATCAGCACTGACACCTGTGATAACGAATCACTGATATGTCAGCTGGTCTTTTTGTATCAGGGCTGAAATGCAGTAGAAATGTGTTTTGGGATTAAGCTTATTTTCATAGTGAAGAAGGACTTTGCAATTAATTGAAATTCATCTGATCACTCTTCATAAAATTCAGGAGTATATGCAAATTGCCATCATAAAAGCTGAGGCAGCAGACTGTTAAAAATTAGTATCTGAGTCATTCTCAAAACTTTTGGCCAAGGCTGTAAGAGTGAGAACTCCACCCCCAGCGCTCACTGCAACGCTAGGTCGTGATCTGCCCTGGACTGGCACTGTGACACCAGCCGACAGCTGGCTTTAGCCTGCTGTTGGCTGAAAATCGGTCCAAGGAGTGTAGGACAAACTGCACTCCTGTGATCAACAGGAAAAGTGCGGCCGAACGAGCTTTGGTTGTACAGCTCCATTCATTTTTTTTTATACCTATATACGATTGTTTTGCCTTTCATTTCTATTTTACACTGAATGGGTTATTTTTGGTGAGGGTTTACATATACTTAAAAAAAAAAAAACAATTAGGAAGAATATTTAAAAAAGCTGAAATAGTATAAATCAACTCCCTTAGATAATAGAAAGTTTCTAACTTTTATTGGGTGTGCATTTTCTACTTGACTGAACAAGATTGTAATAATGACAAGTATGGTGTGTGAAACCCATTTAGCAAAACTTAATTTCTTACCACAGAACAACACAACATTTATGAAACAGTTTTACTTTTAAGCTGAGCACCGCACAAAAATGCAACACAGAGGCAAGCAAGCAATGTCATTTTACAGAATTTTCTTGTTTTTTTCTTTTACGTAAACATTTGCATTGTCCATGCAAAGCAACAGTTTTACTATAATGATCCCCTTACTTTAATGATCCCCTCACCAGGGGACGGGGGACGGGGGTCTATTATTGCTGGCTGCAAGGGATCCATTTTACTGCTTTTCTTGTTATCCATACAAATTTAGCACCACATAATTATACTTGGTTCTGCATCTAAAAGGGGTTGGACTGGGAGGTGTGTGTGTGTGTGTGTGTGTGTGTGTGACACACACCAAGGGATGGGTGCTCAGAGGGTGGGGGGCACGGAGACAAGGTGGGACTCAGAAAGGGGGAGCTCCTGCACCTATTCCGAGGGAAAAAAAAGCCCTGGTTATTAACATCAACATATATATTTCCCTCTGAGCTTACTGACTATTTAGCTATTAATTTTAAATCATACTACATGTTAATACCCGAAACATGTCAGAAGTTACCAAATTAGACAACCCCAATTGCAAGAAAAACAAAAAATGGGATGCCGATCTACATAAAAGCAGAAAGTAATAATTTGCAAAGCTTATAAACCATTATTTGTTGACAACAGAAACTCCTCATAATACTCCTTCTTTGGAATTGGGGTTGTATGAGGAACACAATGTAAGGGCTAGTTACACCAAAGTGACTAGGGAAACAAAGCTTTAAGACATTGCCTCTATCTGTAATAGAAAAGAGACATGTTTGATCTGTACACAGTCACAGCTCTTTATGATCAAATAGACTAGCTAATCCATAAAGCCCAATCATTTTAGCCTTAAAGTGTTACTACACTCAGGACCCTGCATCCACTCTATCTGGTCTCCCACAGTACACAGGAATGCAATTATTTTAGTAAATATAAACTGCTAAATACTTTTTCTCATCAGCAGTTAGAGCAGTCTTGTGACTTCTATCAGTGTCCAGCTGAGCACTGGTTAAAGCTTGTAAGAGTTTTCATTCTCCTCTCACTGCCCTATGCGATTGCATAACCCCTGACCCTCTCTCTGGATAGTGCTGATCACATGCACCCTCCCAAGAAAGAAAACCTCTCTAGCAGTACACACCAAACTGAGCATGTGCAGAGTGTCCCCGAGGCTCTGTTCTATCAGGAGATGAAATGGGGAACGTGGAACAGCGAGCATAACAAGCATGCTTTACTGCATATACAGACTCATTTTACTATTGTGCGTTTAGTAACACTTCAAGCTACCCACAGACAATCATACAGGACATCAAAGGGAAATATAAATTATTATGATTTTGATCATATGCATAAACATAACTATTTTTAGGAGTAGGAATACTGAGAAAAAAAAAAAAAACAAACTAAAAAAAACTAGAGACACTAAAAAATAAATTGACTCACACTGGTTTCACTTCCTAAAGCTTTCAATTCATATAAAAATCTTTATTTTCAAATATCACTGGATGCAGCTGAAATAATTTTTTTTAATCACATAAAGGCTCCAATCTCACGCGCTTGAGTTGCACAGAATCGCATGGCAATGGAAATCACATTGTTTTTAATGGTGCCTATTCACATCAATGCAACTCAGCATTGGGCAAGTTTGGGAAAAGGTTATGTGCTACTTTTGGTGCGATTCCAGCCCCATGTAATAAGCAAATCCCATCTAATAGTAATAAAAAGTATAATTTTCCCGGTGTGCCTGCTTTGTGAACGGATTCTGCTGTGTTGCTTTTTGGTACTTTTTAATCCAATTACTCTGAAAAACCAAGATATAGATTTTAATTTTTTAGTGAAATGGGTGGAATTGATGCTAGGCTTCTTTTACAAACCACTGCATCGGAATGTAAAGGAAAGACATAATATAAAACACACTATTATCTTAAATCACATTTATTGATTTACTCTAATTCAGCCCTTCTATTGATCTGACGTTCTTCAAATGAGAAAGGAAAACCACACAACTTCAAAATAGCCAGAATAGCAAGCAGAATATTTACCTTGATGGTGTTATTGGGGTAAGATCTTTACCCATTGTCTGGATGACTCGCCGACCCCATACCCAGAGACCAGCACAAATACCCACGCCCCCATACAGGAGCAGCCACACGGGTGTAGAGGCTTCTTGCATTACTCCTCCTTGTTGGTATATTAACCACAAAGCAACTAGGGGCCCAATAGCATTGCTGTAACGGTAAAAATACTTTTTTAGTTCAAATATCAATGCAAGATGAGCATTTACACACATCAGGAAAACCAAACAAAAAAAAAAAAAAAAATTTGATTTCCAATATAATTATGTGGAATACATTTATATTTTCAGTTGTATGACCAACCCTGAAGATTTAAAGTATTACTAATACCAGGAGCCTGCATTCATTATATCTGATCTCCCACAGACAAAACATGGAAATGCAATTATTTTAGTAAATATAAACTGCTAAATACCTTTTCTCATCAACAGTTAGAGCAGTCTTGTGACTTCTATCAGTGTCCAGCAGAGCACGGACTAAAGCTTGTAGGAGGAGTTTTCATTCTCCCCTGATTGTCCTATAAGGCTGCAGGACCCTGACCCTCTGTCTGGACAGTGCTGATCGGCCCTGTGCTGATCACATGCACTCTTCCAAGAAAAAAAAAAAAAAAACTCTAGCAATACACACCAAACTAAGCATGTGCAGCTTGCTCCCAAGGCTCAGTTCTATCAGCAGATGGATTGGGGACAGTAGAAGGGGAGGAACAGAGAAGATCGGATCAAGCATCCTTTTTACACAGAGGATTAACCCCTTAGGTTCCACAGCGAGCACAACAATCATGCTTTACTGCATATATAGGCTGATTTTACTGTTGTGGGTTTAGTAACACTAAGATAGCTCTGAGGAGTATCACTATGTAAGTGGTCAGGCTGCAAAATCAACTCTAAAGAGTTATATAAAAGGTATTTTTTTTTTCGTTTGGCATATAGTAGGGAGGGGTTAGACTCTGCTAAGATGTATTGCTGTATGTGCCACCCCCTTATATTTGTCCTGGTTACCTTTGTCACTGACAAAATTATTGGGAAATCCAAAATTTTAGTGGTCTCCAGAGCAAGAGGTGAACAAAATGATCTCTTGACAAGACAACTGTCTAAGGGGGAAATTCTCCTCACTTTAATGCGATTCCTTCCCAATTTCCCACTGCATCTCCAGGACAAATAGTAAAATGTCCTTAGTGGGAGAAAGTAAAAACAACCTACCAGGGAATAAAACCCTTACATACACTTTAACTTAAAACTGTTCTACAAGAAATACGAGGTCTGATATTGCTAAACCCTCCCAGACTACAGTTGTTGACCATTTGAACACCGCACTCTCTTGTGGTCACAGTTTATTTCTAGCAGGATAAAATGCCACCAAAAAGCACTCATCTCCAACTGGTTCCACACACTTTAAAGGTCTGTGCACACGTTTATTTTGGAGCCACTGTAAACTGGTAGCAACTCTGGCATCAGATGGAGCAGGAGGTCCTTAAACTAATGTGTGGCCCTTAAACCTAAGAGCATGGACTAAAATCCAAAAGAGTTTTCCAAGCAACCTGTGGCAAACAATTTAGGCTGTTTTGGAAGAATCAAAGCTCTCTCTCTCTTGAGATAGAAAAAAAAAAAAATCTAACCGAGTGGAAACCTAACTTCTAGTTAAACAAGGTAAGGTATATGATAAAGAGGCATATTCACAATACTAGTTATGTTCTAACATACCAATAAAGTAGAACAGAGTTTGTTTCTAGGACACAAATGCAGACTTTTTATTTGCATAGCCTGCGACTTCTAACCTGGGCCAGAGTTATAGTTAACACCTACTCTATCTTGCAACCAAATGGTGTTTATAATTTTGATGTTGTTAAGAACACCTAGATAACATGATGCAAACAACACAATATACAACCCCTGGCAAAAAAAAAAAAAAAAAAAAAAATATGGAATCACCACTCTTGGAAAATTTTCATTCAATTGTTTAATTGTGTAGAAAAAAACAAAAACAATCACAGACATGCCTCAAAACTTGATTTCATTTAACATTCCAACCTTCTAGCTTTAAGAAACACTTAAAAAAAAAAAACTAGTCGATTGCAACAAATTGTAGATCAAGCAGAGGGAAAAAAATATGGAATCACTCAATTCTGAGGAAAAGATTACGGAATCGCCACGTACTTTGCAGTTCTAAAACAAACATCTGCATCAGATCACATATGCTAATTAGTCTGCTATTAAAAAAAAAAGTGCTTCCACACCTTGGTGACCTGTTGTACCAAGCTGATTGACATGAATCATGGCTCCAACAGGAAAGGTGTCAGTTGAAACAAAGGAGGATTATAAACCTTCTTCAAGAAGGTAAATCATCACAGAATGTTGCAAAAAAGAAGCATACTGGTAGACCAAGGAAGACATCAAAGCGTCAATATAGAAAACGTAAAGCAATATGCTTTGAAAACAGAACAAGCACAACAAAACAAATGAGGAACAAAATGGACAGAAGCTGGAATCAATGTCTGTGACCAAACCGTAAGACATCGCCTAAAGGAAATGGGATTTACATACAGAAAAGCCAAACGAAAACCATCAACAACACCTAAAAAGAAAAAAAACAAGGTTACAGTGGGCTAAAGAAAAGCAATCGTGGACTGTGGATGACTGGATGAAAGTGATATTCAGTGATGAATCGTGAATCTGCATTGGGCAGGGTGATGATGCTGGAACTTTTGTTGGGTGCCGTTCCAATGAAATGTATAAAGACGACTGCCTGAAGAAAACGTGCAAATTTCCACAACCATTAAGGATATGAGGGCGTGGCCTAAGGATATGGGGTTGCATGTCAGGTAAATGTACGGGGGAGAGGAGTCATTAAATCTTCAATAAATGCACAAGTTTAGAGATTTTGGACACTTTTCTTATTCCATCAATTGAAAGGATGTTTGGTGATGACATTTTTTTGGGATAATGTATCTTGCCATAGGGAAAAAGCCATGAAATGTTTTCTTCAAGAAAGACATATGATGTCAATGGCATAGCCTGCAAATGGTCCAGACTTCAATCCAATTGAAAATTAGGGATGCACTGAAATGTCGGTGACCAAAACGTTTCAGCCGAAAAAGCACTGATACAGGTGCCGAAAATAACCCCGCCCCTCGGTGGTTCTTAGCCTTATCCCGATGCTGGGCATAGAGATAAGTGAAGGAAAGGTGGCCTCTGCCCTTGGAGGACCAGAGTGACAGCACTTTCAGTCTTTTTTTTTTTTTTTTTTTTTTAAAAGCACTAGATCAATGTATTTTTTTATCCAATGCTTTACATTGTAGAGGAGAATTGTGGGGTCTTATTGACCCCATATCTCTCCGTAAAGAGGACCTGTCACTACTTATTTCTATCACAAGGCATGCATGCATTCCTTGTGATAAGAATTAAAAAATTTTTTTTTTTTTTTTTTTTTTTAAAAAGGGAGTGTAAAAAAAAAAAAATTTACATAAAAAAAAGTGCCCCATGCTCTCCTGTAGTGGTGAACACATTCGTAGGCCACGCCCTCATATGTAAACTGTGTGTTCAAACCACACATGTGAGGTATCGCCATGACTGTCAGAGCAAGAGCAATAATTCTAGCACTAGACCTCCTCTAACTTTACACTGGTAACCTGTAGACAATTTTAAAGTGTCACCCATGGAGATATTTAAGTACTGTAGCTTGATGCCATTCCACGAGCGTGCACAATTTTAAAGCATGACATGTTGGGTATCTATTTACCCGGCGTAACAGCATCTTTCAAATTTTACAAAAAAAACTGGGGTATATATTGTGTGTGCTTTTTTTAAATTATTAAAGTGTATTTTTGAGTATGTGATTAGTGTTCTAAACAATTAAATGAACAGTTTCCAAGAGTGGTGATTCCATACTTTTTACCAGGGGTTGTATCTACAGCTGTAGTAATATAAACAAATATTGTAAAAGTATTGGAACAGGTAGCAACCAGATTCTTACCCTAAAGTGGTTGTAAACTCTTATACATGTCCAGTGAAAGTACTGGCCTCAGGTGATACAGAGATGAAACAAATCCACCTAGATAAGTTGCACCTGTTTATCTGCAGTTTTCACTTCTCTACAGTCCTTCAAAGTCCAGAATGTATACAGCTTTTTGGAGCTTTTAGAAAGCAGGAGGAAGGCAGCTGAAGTTACACTCTGCAGAGCTCAGTTAGAGCTGACTGAAGGGAAAAGACACACCCCATTTACACAGTACACAGGAATAGAGCTGAAACTGTCAATCACAGGCCATCACCTTTTTACCTCTTGTTGTTAGGAAAACTTATCAGAAGTGACTCATACCCATAGCGGAGAAAGAGGCAGCAGGCAGAAATTACACTTGGTGCTCTGGATTAAGACAAGTACAAACTATAGAGAGCTTTGTTCACATCATGTTAGGGGTTTAAAACCACTTCCATTCTCACATATTGCAAAGGAAGAATCTGGTTGATGTGGGGCAAAACAGACTGGGATTTAAAGTATGATTTGGAGATCACTTTAAAGTTGTAAAACACATTACAGAAAATGCCTTGTCCAGAAAAGGTTCCTGTACCATTTTGCATTAATAGAGGTCTATATATACGTACATACCTGCATAAATACAAACCTTTTTCAACACAGTGCAGCTTTCATATAATATGTTGAAAAGGTGGACTTAGCCTTAGCAAACGTAAAAAGGCTAAAGTCTCCCCCCCCCCCCAAGTTTTGGAAAGTGTTATATAAAGGGCTAAAGCCCCTTTCAGGTTATTTCTGCTCTGTGCGTCTCATTGGGGAGATGTTCTGTCATTTCCTGCTTAGAAAGTTCTAACTAGGTCATTTCTCCCAACTCTATCACTTGCTCTGAATAAAATATAAAATGTTGGATTTACAACTCTACATTCTCTCTCAGTAACAATGGTCACCAGGACAAATATAGGGGTGAATCTCCATAATGCAGACACATACAACAATAAAATTTTGACAGAGGGTACATGCCTTCAACCTATCCAAAAGTAAATTTTTGTAATGGTTTACCTCTATAGAAACGTTAATGTCATATATGCATTTGTCAAAGAGAATGGAAAAAAAAAGCCTGTAGCACAGTTCAGTGCTTCTCACCTGACATCATTTCCTCCATGAGCAAAAGATCCAAAGCAAGCTGTCAAAATCTGCAGAAAGTGGAAAAGCAGGTGAACTTGTGACTTGTCTTTCTCCTCTTTGTCCTCTTCTAATGAATCATCTGGAACTGGATTTTGGTCAGTTAACTCCGTAGCAAGCTTCATCTCTACTCCACCTTCCTCAGCTTCAATCTCTGCTTCTGCCACCGCATTGCAGTAGCTAGAATAGCTGTCATAGCGGATACGTTTCTTAGAATAAGACACAGTGTCTGTTACCAACTTTTCACTATCCTCTGGAGTTACAGGATCAAAAGATTTGAATGTTGAATGAACAGGCATACCACAGATAGCAGCAGTGTAACATGTATAACTATTGTTACGTCTCAAAACTCTGTAGTTGTTTTCATGTGCAGGGCGATCATCAGTTACTCTGTCCAGATGTATTTTATGTAACAAGTCCTTGTATAGCCCTGAGTCCTTGTGTACAGTATGGTACACATGAACATCACTTTTAACGTTGTGACCATCAAAACTAAATGTACCATTGGAGATTGGAGATCTAACCGAGCCATTTGTCATAGAAGCAGCCCTCCCTGGTAATAAAGAAAATCAAGGTAGGATCAAAACATAACCTTCTACATGAAATAATCACTGAAAAAAAAAAAAAATTTAATACTTCAAAGTCACCCTGTTGCTAGAAAAACAAGTACAACTGAAATAAGATTATTAGAAATACTTAACAGTCCAGCCTCAGCAGGTACTATCTCAAATTTGTTTTCTAAGCTACAGGGCACATAAAAAAAAAGAAAAAGAAAAAAAGGGAACCACATTGTATATGACATTCTACCCAGTTCATGGCAAAGAAACTACATTTTAGTTAGGCCTGCATCATTCTGTACTCGAGTCCCTCATTTTGCTAGAATTGGGTGGGCTTAAAAAACATAAAATCCTAACCCCTTCATCTTCTGTCTGATGCTAAAAGCAGCACCACTACAAAACAGTAACTATGAATGGGAAGCTTTGCCAAAAGGCAAAAGAACAGGTCCTATGCACCATATTCTCAAAATAATGCAGGATGACCAGAAATTCCAGCTTACTCACAGTGATATGAACGCCCATGAAAGCTGTAAGCCTAGGTTCACACTAATGCTGGTGCAGCATGATATTTCCAATGCGATTTTGTAGTGAAACATAGCTTGTTGATGCGTTTTTTTTGTAGGAGGAGACTGGATTTTATACACAAAACTCTACTAAAAACGTATTAAAAATGCACATACATGCATTTTGGGTCATTTTCATTGACATCTATGGGGCCGAAATTGCACTGTACCAGTACCAAAGTAACACCTATACCTTTTCCAAAAATGTGCTGCAGCTGCACTGCACTGATATGAACAGGCACCTTACAGAATAATGTGACAATGACAAGGCCAAGCTGTGCTGTGTGTGTATGGACGCCAAAGTCTGGCTCAGGAACACACTTGCATGGCTTGATAAGGGGGTATCTTGATGAAGAAGGAGTAGAGAGTGCCAGTGGGAAACTCCAGAACAGGAGGTAAGAGGCCCCTCCGTGCAATATTGTTGCACAGGAGCAGGTAAGTAGAATATATATATACACAAATACACTTCTTTAATATCTCTATAAGCAGACATAAATGTAGCTTTATTTCCACTTACGTATTAAACCCTAAAGCAAACATTTAGTATATTGCAGCTTACAAATTCTTAAAATGTGATAGCTGCATTTTATTTATTTATTTTTTTTTAAGGTCAGCAACAAAAAGGTAAAGTCGCTGACAGCCAGGCAACTAACAACCTTACAAAAATTTAGCATTGGCATCCAATCATACTTTCAGGGCAGGTTATGTTTAAGACATTCTAGAGTGAATTTAAGTGTCACATAGACATGGTCAAACTATGACAACAAAAAAAAAAAGCAACAATCAGCTAAAAAGATTTACTTTCCTGACATGTGAATGCTAGCTTATCAAAAATATCTGTATAATAGAACAAAAGCCATACCATATGGTATTCTGGTGTTTCCGTTTGCAACTGTGTCAGATCCATTAGCACCTTCAGTGGTGGCACTAGTAAGAGGGACCACACTTTCATCATTGCCCTTTGCACCAGGCAACTCTTTAAAAACAGCAGCATCTTCATCCTGGATTTTATCAAGGCTTTCCTCTGACATATGGGACAGCGCATCTTTCTTTAATCGACCTGCACAAACATTAATAGAAATGCATTTATATTACAAAAGAAATCTAAACTCAAAATACTTCCTGCACAAATATGGCTTTTACAGAGATAACAAGACACAAACAGTAATGGCAATTATACACACTATACATTATTTAAAGGAAAGGGGTGCTAGAAAAAAGATGTTAACAAGACATAAGGATGGGAGGTCAATGTCTTCATTGAGGTGGAATGCTGAAACCACCTTCAGAGTAAAGGATGGCCTTGGGTGTAAGAGATCCTCGATCCAGGCGATGGCGGCTGAGAGAATCCACTTACGAGTTGCTCACACCGAGGATATGGATAGCAGAGAACACTAGAGCGCGAGTTTCTGTCCAACAGATCATCTGGTTCGCTTTTTATCAAGACAGCCAGACTCCTTGTGACCCCTTGATGGTTGATGCAGGTCATCGTTGTTGTACTGTCTGACTGCACCCTATCACTTCAAAAAAAGGGGGGGGGGGGCAGTGCTGCAGGGCCAGCTTGATTGCTCTGAGCTCCAAGGTGTTCATGGGTAGCTTTTAAATCTAGAAAAAGGACAAATACCCTTGTTCGGTTTTGGTACCATGAACAGGTTTGAGTAGAATCCTCTGAATCCATCTTGTGGCGGTACTAGCACAGCAACTCCATGAAACAAGAGGAAGTTCAGGGCAGTGTGTAAATCTAACTGTCCTTGGGACGTTTTTGGTTGATTTGAAAGAAGAAAGTAGTAAGGTGGTAAAGCTTTGAACTCTATTTGTACCCTATTGGAAACTACCAACTGAACCCAGGAGAGATGCAAACTGTAAAAGCCTTCATCCACACTTAGAAGGGTGCCCCTTCATTAGGAAGAAGGCTTTGGGAAAGACTTGGTGGCCTTGGTGGGCAAAGCCTTGCACTGAAAAAAAAGGCTTAACTAAGGTTTTGAATTTGAAGCCTGGTAAGAGCAAAGAGTTGCTCTGTATTTAGAGGAGCTAGGGGATCCTAAGGAGGGTGGGTTTGGGACCATCAGATGTCTTCCTTGAAAAGGAATACACTTGAGGTGCCTTTTGCAGGCAGATTCAGCAGTCCAAGCCTTTAGCTATAAGACTGTGCCCTTGTGAATAGAGATTAGAGTTATTCTGGAAAGGTTTCTTTTAACATGTTCAGTCTAGGGTGTCTACAAAGCAGAAAATCAGAGCAGAAGGCAACTGCTGTAATTGCTGTGTAACAGCAGGATCCCAAAATATTGGATCATGCTGCTTGTTCATTGTCTTAATCCAGTCAGCTGCAGTTTGACATACTGAAATTGCAGGAAGAGCTGGTTACAGGGCTTGACCTGCAGTATTAAAGAGAGCCTTTAGGAGTGTCTCAAACCTCAAATATTTGAATGATAGAACACCTTCAATAGGAACAGCAAGATGTTTGTTTATGACAAAGACCGCAAGATCAACTACAGGAATAGCCTAATTCTTTTTTGAACACTTTTCTACTGGATAGAATTTAGTACAGATTTTGGGGGACATGACCCAGTCATAGACTGCACATTTCATAATCAGGTGTTTTCCCACCTAAAGGGTTACTTACTTACAGTTAATTTTAGTTGATATTATGTGGTTGGTTTGTCTTTTTTGAGTCACATAGTATTTGAGAGACTACCTTGGAAATGGACTAAGCACATAAGAATTTATGGAATCTAGGGATAGGCAGTTCATAGCAGGAATAATATTTTTTCATTAAAACATGACCATGAAAAAAAAAAAAAGCATACTTGCTATTTTCTTTCTCATCCATGGGCAAACAAAAAACCAGACTACTAAAGCAAATAAGATGGCAATGCCTATAGATAACAGACCGGTGGCCCACACTGGAAAGGTATGCATTCCCAACACTGCAAAAAAAAAAGAAAAAAAAATATTTTACTTCACAACTCTGCTGGGTACAAAAACAAAGCTGGTTATAAACCCATATCTGAACAGTCATAGGTAAATAAGGCCCTGAATTCAGAACTACAGTTCTATCCAATGTATACAATCAAATTCACCACACCTCCTATGTGAATAATATGACAAATTAGGGTGTAAGCATAAATGAATGCTTTAAATCAGGGCCTTTTTTAGCCGAAACGTGGCAGAAAGGAGTTCTGTCACCCCGGGCAGTGGCCAAGAGCCTACCACTATCTACAGTCACTAAGAAACACAGAAGTGCGGCTTCTGTGTTTCCAAGTGACAGTGCAGCTGAGCTCTACCATCAGCAACCACACTACACTCCCTGCCACTGCTCTCAGGGCTGGGACAAGTAGGAAACAGCACTTACTTTGTTGGTGGTGGTAACTGATGCCCTCTGAGCTGCAGCTGCACCTGGCACTTGTAGCTTAAGCTCAAAGAAAATAGTCTCTCTCTGCACTGCACCTGCCCTCTGTAAATGGGGGTGCAGAGATGATGTTTGGACAAGGATTGCAGAGGCGAGCTGTGGCCTGTGAAATCCACTGGTTAACCCTGGAGTGTGTGCATTATGCACCCATGGTTTTATTTAACAATGTCCCTTTAAAATGGACCTACTGTTTGTGTAATTTGGTGGCCACACTTACATGACAGTGCACACAGCATGCCAACCTCTGGGGGGGGGGGGGGGGGGGGGGGGGGGGGGGGGTTTTCTAAGATCCTGCACTTATCTGACAAAAAAAGCCCTGCTTTCAATGGTTTAAATAATGGTTAAAAATAAAGGCTTCCACTGCTGCAAAAGGCAGAATGTGTGTGCAGGAAACACTGCTGATAAATTGTTCAATCAGAGGCAGCCAACATGCGTGCAAACCCCTGACCTGAAAATTGCCAGTTATTTTGTTATCAAAACATTCAGAGACCATTTTTTCCTGCTTGTATACATGTATGCCACATTGGGATCTCTACCAATTATTCTAGAATTGGAATACTCAAAACAATGAGGATGGAACCTAAAAGCTGTGTATTATAAGATCACTTTATCACCATATTTAAGTGGAGTTCAAATGGCAAGCTCTGAGAACAAAAAAACAGTCCCCTCTGGGTGACTGAGATGTAAACATTGAAAGGTTTTTTTTACAAAAATAGTCCTATAAGTTTCTGTTTTCAAGAAAAAAATGTTCCCGAAGGTTCGTGGAATATGGATTCCTAAAGAGGAGTGTCTGTGTTCAATCTAATCTGCTGATGCACTTGCAGTGCTCTAATGAGAAAACATGCAGTGTTTGCATTCCATTAGAATTACCCCTTGGGGAGTATCTCACCAAAAATATAGTTTTTTCTGATTGCGGGTGATGCTTAAAAGTTTACTTGCACCTTGGTGCAGACTTATGGGAAAGTCCATGAGCCAATCACACAAGTAGAAGGGGATTTTTTTTGTACTCACCATAAAATACCTCTCAGAGTTTATTGACGAACTCAGTGTCTTCCTCTTTAACAATAACCAACCAGGGTTTTATAGCTCCACCTATAGAAATAGGACACTAATGAAGGAAAAAAAAAAAAAAAAAAAAAAAGGACTTGGCACCTCCTATGGACAGTCGTCCTTGGGTATAAAACCCCCTCTGTGCTATAGGTCTCCAGTCCATCACAAGCAGTATCAAAGGAAATATCCCCCTAGAGGGGTGGGTGCTGTGTCCGTCAATTAACTCAGAGAAAGGGAATTTACACCGAGTACAAAAAAAATCCTGTTTTCTCTTGCATTCACTTGACAGACACAGCATCTTCCTCTAACTACAGCCAAGCAGGGATGTTCTCAAGCAGTGCCATAATGAGGGATGGGCAAACCATTCAATGGAGAAAAAACTCCCAGGTCAACAAGCCAACACTCCAAAAGAACCCAAACATGGTGCCGAGGAGCCCTAAACAGCCGCCTGCAACACTGAGGCCAAAACTAGCATCAGAGGATGCAAAGACATCAACTTTATAGAACTTCGGAAACATGTACACAGATGACCAGGTCGCTGCCTTGCAAACTTGAGAAACAGACGCCTGAAGTCGGAATGCCCAGGAGGCACTAACTGCCCTAGTGGATTGAGCCGTAATCAGGAAGGGAGGTTCCTACCCCTTAATAGCATATGCCTGTACAATAGTCTGCCGAATTCAATGAGAAATAGTGGCAGAAGATGCTGCCAGGCCCTTCTTCGAACCATCCGTGAATACGAAGAAAGAAATTGGACCTCCGGAAGGCAGCAGTTACAGAAAGGTACACAAGATTCGTGCAGACCACATCCAGGGAATGCAGAGCCACCTCTTTAGGATGCGTCGGTTGAGGTGGGAAAAACAAACAATATCCTCATTCAAATTTGACATCAGCGTTGGTAGAAAGGAAGGAGAAGGTTAAAGCACCACCTTGTCCCTGTGCAAAACCAGATAAAGGCAGCTTACAGGGCAAAGCTGCCACTCCGACACCGTCCGAGCAGAAGTGATAGCAACAGGGAAGGCAACTTTTTGCAAAAGTACATGCAAGGGGTTGTCCCGAATGGCCTCAAAGGAAGACTCTGAAGAGCTGACCGCACCAAATTCAATTACCACGGTGACAAAGGTGAGCACACACGTGGGACCAAGTGACAAAACCCATGAATGAAAGTGCGAACCAAAGAATGCGTAGCTAAAGGCCACTGAAAGAAAACAGCCAGAGCAGAAACTTGACCCTTGACTGTACTCAATGCAAGCTTCTGATCCAGGCCACGTTGGAGAAAGGCCAATGTGAAGGAACGAGGATGGAACCCCAAGGCTTCACATCAACCAATACAGGCTCTCCAGGTGTGAAAATAAATCTTCTGGGAGGTAGACTTACAGGCCTTCAACATAATGGGAATCACCAAGCCTTGTCTTTCAGAACCTGGCTCTCAATAGCCACGGTGTCAAAGCCAGCGACGGTAAAGCAAGGTGGAAGACCGGCCCTTGAGCCAGAAAGTCTTTCCGGAGAGGCAGCCACCAATCGCACCATGTCGGAGTGCCATCAATGACGAGGCTAGTTCGGAGCAACAAGGATGACCGGGAAACCTTTGGCCTCTATTCTGCGTAGTAGATGAGGAATCAGTCAGAGGGGTGGGAAGACATAGATGAGAGTGTACGGATCCCACGGCGCCACTAGTGCATCTGTTGCTTCTGCCAGGGGATCAAACGATCATGCCATGAACTGTGGAACCTTACAATTGAGGCGGGAAGCCAGAAGATCCATATCTGATGTCCCCCAGCAAAAGCAGAGCTGATGGAACACTTCCGGATGTAGGGACCACTCGACCAGATCCAAATGCATGACAGCGAAGATAATCCACTTGCCAGTTTTCGACGTCCGGAATGTGTACGGCAGAGCCGGAACAAACCTCTCCACCCATTGAAGAGTGTGAGATGGCTCCGGCACTGCTGCACTTCTCGTGTCCCTTGATGATTAACATACACCACCGCAGCGGCGTTGCCCAACTGAATCCTGGTCGGCAGACCCGACAGGTGGTCCATTCAATGTGTCAGCAGCAACCTGAATGCCTGAAGCTTCAGGGTATTGATGGGTAAGCAAGTTTCCTCCACAGTGCAGCGACCCCGAGTAGAGTCCAATCCCTGAACTCCTCCCCAGGCCGACAGGCTGCCATCTGTCGTGACCATAGTCCAGGGAATGGGGAAGAAGGACTTTCCATTCCATAGAGCTGGAGATTGCATCCAAAGAAGGGAGGCCCTAGTCGATGGCTCCAGGTGAATCCAAATGTCCAAGGAGGTGGAAGCCCTGTTCCATTTAGATATTTCCCTCTGCAGTGTTCTCTTATGAAAGTGGGTATATGGAATTGCTGTGAAGGTAGCCACCATCAGCATGCAAAAATGCAGGGAGGGCCACCTGCAAGCCAAGAGTTGTTGGAACGCCAACTGGAGCTTAAAAAATTTATTTGATGGAAGGAACGCCTTGGCCTGCTCCGAATCCAGGATCAGCCCCAGATACTCCAGGCACCTAGACGGGGTCAATACCGACTTCCTGAGGTTCAGGACCCACCTGAAGTCCCATAGAGAACGCATGGTGATCTCCACACTGTCTAGTAGTAACAAGCAAGTTCCCGCAGGAACAAATTGTCCAGGTAGCTGATCACTGCAACCCCCCCTTGTCTCAAATAGGCCAGGACCTTGGTAAACACCCGGGGTGCAGAGGCTAGACCAAAGGGCAGATCCACGAATTGGTGAAAAGGACCCGCCGGAGCACCACGGCTACGACAAATAGTTTGGAGAGAAGGGGTATTGCATCAAGGGAGGTGTCACAGATGTACTTTACTTTAATCTCAGGACCAACCGGTCCACCAGTTCCACATACTGTTGGGGTAACTGACTAGATGTTAAAAGGATAAGTTCACCTTTTAGACAAAAATAATAAATGCAGATTTTTTTTTTGCAAGTAAAAAAAAATGTGCATATATTTTTGTCTACAGGAGCCTGGAAAGCATTGCACCAGAGATCAGTAGGTCGCTGATGCCATGCAGGTCTCCTCCAGACCTGTCAGAATATCTGCTTGCCGTATGGGATGTACGAGCAAGCAGATATTCTGACAGTAAGCTTCCAGCGCTCGCTGGTCAGACTGCGCTGACCACTGGATCTAGATTATCCAGCCCGTTTGTAAAAGATCTCCGCAGGAATACAAAATTCCAGGAAAAATTAAAAAAAAAAAAAAAAGTTGTGAGACCACAAGTCCCAGCAAAACTTCACGTCCATACTCCTGAGACACTAGGCAGAAAAGACTGGAAACCAATAGCAGAGAGGGGATTTTATACCCAAGGAGGACTGCCTAGTAGTGTCCTTGCTCCTGTAGATGGGGCTATAAAATCCTGCTTGGTTATTGTTAAAAAGGAAAACATGTCTGTCACTGAACATAAGAGGACATTTTTTTGGGAAAGTTCTTAACACCAACCGTGTACAGAAAGGTCTTCCGGTTGCCTTATTGCATTGAGTATTACAGAAAATTACAGCAGCTACAGACTGAAAAGGAAAGTTTATTTCAGTATTAAAATTACAATATAGTTTGAGTAGCAATTGTATGCTATATTATCTTTTTTTCCCCCCTCTCTCTTCACAAAAGCAGAGTTAGCCTTCAATTTTTTTTTTCTTTAAACAGTGGACAATAGTATATGAATTTAAATAACTTACGTGGGGCCCCTGTATATAAAATAGAAAATACATTAATTCCTATTGTAGCAGCATAAAATACTGGGAGTGCTCGCAGTCCATTAGGCACTGGATCCTCCTAGGTGGGAACAAAAAAAAAAATATGTTTCTCAGATTTGGTCATAGAAAAGTTAGAACTAAGATATATAGTTAAATCACTGGAAAGAGTTTAAAATTCTAGATTCCCCTCTCCAACGATAGAACTGTATTTATTAAAAGAACACTTTTATTATTTAAAACACTTACTATTAAAATAACACAAATACTCTAACCAATTTGTGTCACATGGATTCTAAAACGGGTTTCTTGCTGCACAGGTTTAAGAAAAACAAATTACTAGCAGGTTCTAATCTGTTACTGCAAGCATAATCTCATCTCTTCATGGAACTGGAACAGGAAAAGCATGATTATACAATTTTTATTATATTTAACAAAAGTCTTCCAGAAAGGGATCTTAATACACACACACACACACACTTGTATATACAGTACATATACACATCGTGCAAAGGTTATACCACGAAAAACTTGGGAAGCATTCACACCACTGTGATTTACCCCCGGTTCACATCTATGTGGCTGCATTTCGCACGGGCACCAGAGCCCATTTATTTGAATGGACTCCCGTGCCCGTGACACGCAGGGAAGAAGTCCCTGCACTTCTTTGGAAAACGCAACCCACACGGGAACCTCAGTTCCCAGTACGGTTGCGTTTTGCAGTACGGGCTGCGTGCCATTAGAACTAATGGCACCCGCCCAAGGGTCCGCATTTCTCTGTGCGGGTGGTGCGGCTGCACAGATTTTTGTGCAGATCTGCAGCGGCACCACCCGCACAGATGTGAACCTAGGGTTAATGCATGTTTAAAAACACATGTATAATGCATGGCAAGTTCTGCTAAACAGAACTATTCTCATCATGCTTTAATGCATGGTGCGTTTTTTAAAATAATTGTAGCAATGTTTTAATGTGGTTTTTCCTTGATAACAAGTGCTAAATAGGTATGAGCAATGACACATTAAAAAGCATGTAAAGTATTGATTCCTACTGCGACAAGCTGTCCAACTCCCAGTGAAGCCTTACCCTCTCTGCCCTTAGCTGGAAGAGGGACGACTTGCGTCACCCCCCCTCCCTTCCTCTTTCCCTTGCCTCTTTTCACCCCTTACCCCTCATTCCATTTTCCCCGCCACACTCACATCTTTACGCCCTACCGACTCAGAACTTCCAGTTATTGGCAGCATTGCTCTATTCTAATGTATGTTGATGCCTTTAGTACATCTCTAGTAGTATTGCTACCTCTACTGTATACGTCACTCATCGGATCTCAGGACTTGTATGACTTAGCCTTGGTGAATGTTCTTTGTTATGTTTGGATACTAGAGGATTTCACAGATTTCTCTCTGTTTACTCATTCGAGACTGTAATACTAGAGTGACCATATGTTTCTGGTCAATGTTTGTGATTTACCTGACCCCTGAAGATAAAGGAATTACGCAAAAAGCAAACAAAAAAAACCCCACACACATGTAAGAGCATTTTACGTGCCTTAATGCACAAAAACACATTTAAATGTGCATAAAAAAAATACACCCTGTAAAATCAAGAGGCTGCCCATCATTTCTAGTTGCCTATCACTATCTACTAATTGACAAACCATTTTCACTGAAGGCAATTTTTCCTTCAGCATTTTTGCATTATGTCCAAGATTGTGACTTTTAATATTTAAAACGTTTTAACCTCTTCATTACAGAGGGTAAAACAAATCCTGACACCTGATCAGAGTTTTGTGACAGACATGTGTTAGTAAACCTACGTAAAATAAAAACAAAAAAAGTTTGAATTTTCTTGCCATTACCATAACCAACCACCACACAAAAACCCAAAATAAATTCTCCATCTCCTAATGATCGCAGAGATACCGCAGATATGTGTATGTTATTTGTTGCTTGAACCTGTAGTAAGGTCAAGAAACAGCATTTTGCTTTTTTATCCTGCCAAAAATATACTGACCCTAACTCTAACCCTGACTTTGATCAAACTCTGATTTACCTACATTTTTCTTTATTCGTATTTATTTTTACACACGTTTTTGTTTACATTTTCTCCCCGAGCAGGTGAAAGATATACAATGCATCTTTCTCTCCAATCAAGAGAAGAAAAAACAGAGGCACAATGACTGATCACTGTGATAGCCAATCAGAAGCTATCACAGTGATCGGGTGATTGGGAACCAGGATTCAGCGAGAGCCTGGTCCACGTGCTGGGATTGCGCTATGTGGCACAATCCCGGTACAAACACACATATGGGGTTTGCGGAAAGAGACTCACTTCTGTGAGGATGCATGCGTGTGTACACGTGGCATGAAGGGGTTTTTAACAAGCAAAGCAGTGGTATGCCCAAATTACAGAAACCAAGATAAGTTTATAAACTAATATGTAAATATATATTGTAACTGTTCAAATAAAAAAAAATTAAGAGCATTTGCTTGACATAGGAGATCATTACTAGGATAACTAATGTAGCTATCACATCAAAGAATTGGTAAGATGCAACATAACAAATATGTCCTTTTGGGTTTAAGACCTTTAACCACTTGCCCTCTAGAGGATTTACAACCCCCCCCCCCCTTCTTGACCAGGCCATTCTTTGCGATACGGCGCTGCGTTACTTTAACCAATTGCACGATCATGCAATGCTGCACCCAAATTAAATTTGTGTGCTCTTTTTCCCCCACAAATAGAGCTTTGGTATTTGATCGCCTCTGCGTTTTTTTTTTTTTTTTTTTTGTGCTATGGGAAAAAAAAAAAAAAAAAGACCAACAACTGCGAAAAACAAAACACACAATATTTTTGACTTTTTGCTATTACACATGTCCAGTAAAATTAAAAAAAAAAAAAAAAAAAAAAAAAAAAAAAAAAAAAAAAATTTCAAATTTCATCATAAATTTAGGCCAAACTGTATTCTGCTACATTTGCTAAAAGAAAAATCCCAATACACGTAAACTAATTGGTTTACGTTAAAGTTATTTATTTTGTTATTTTATTTATTTCAGCGTGTACAAATGGTGGTATAGATACTGGCATTTTTTTTTTTTAATATAAAATACTAGTAATGGCGGCGATCAGCGACTTATTGCGGGACTGTGGTGGGCATACTGACACTGCTGTGCAGTGCAATACAGGGGAGAGATCTGTATTGTTTACATACGGGTCTCTCCCCCGTCGGTGATAGCCGGGTGGCAGCGGGGAATCACCAGCTGGGACCCGGTGATCGACAGGTGACTGTGGGTGGGGGACGTGTGCCCCCTACCTGCAAATGCAAAATCACGTATACATACACACACATGATTTTGGACACCCCTGCCGCCCTGTAGCAGTATTTCTGCTTTAGGGCAGTGGGAAAGCGATTAAGCAGCAAATAATGCAACTATTTACCAAAGTGCAAGAGTGAAGACTTCACTTGCACTTAGCTGTAAAAATGACTGTTAAACAAGTAAGAATATTAATGTGATTTACCTTATTCAAGATGAAATACCTAATTAACAAAAAGAGTGCACCAGACATCAGGCCGGATAGCAGGGGTGAAATGAACCAGGAAGCAACTGCAATGGAGATTCAAGAGTAAAATACTTACAAAAAGCATAATATACATTCCATATGCTTAAAATGAAAACTAAGCACAATATAATTTTCACACCAACCCCATGCATTCAAGCTAGCATGCAAAATCATCAGGCCACTGTACAAATTGTCCCATGGTCACTTTGGTGTCAAATATATAATAAATAATAATTAAAAGAATCTAGAAATTGGCATCAGGTATACTCAAGCAGTGCTTATTTATAATCCTCATGATGACAAATAATGACAATGAAAGCCTAATACTCCTAATATTACAGCAATGCAAATACAAGAATTTAAATATTCAAATTGAAATTGCATTATCCTAATATTTACACCTATTAATCAAAAACGTATGCTCTAATTTCAACTCAGTATTGGGAAACAACACTTCTCTCTTAAGAAGAAAGGGATACAAATAATATTGGTGGATATTCAACATCCCTGCCTTTCACTCCTGTAGCTTCAGCTACCACCAATACCATCTGTGGCTGCAGTAGTCAGACCTCATGTTTCCCACAATTTCCTGAGTAATGGCTGTGGTTGTATTTTTCTTGAATTAGCACTAGCAAGAGTAAGTGCAGGACTGGAAGGTTGCATCGCTGAAGCTGGAAAGATCACATCAAAGTATTAGGAACCTTTTCTAACACCCGCTATGCTTGTACAAACCAACTGCGTGTCCAGAGGGAAACAATATCATAGGAAGTGATCTATTAGAAGAAAAAACATACAGAAAAGCAGAGCCTGATGCATCGCTGGGCATACCAAAATGCATGGAAACATGTACCCCCCTACTTTTCCTGTTAAAATGTAGTGTTTGGGCTATACTCGCCGTATAAGACTACCCCTCTTCCAATGCACACCAGTGGGAGGAATAGCGTCCCATCATTGGCGTCAGTGGGAGGAATAGCGTCCCATCATTGGCGTCAGTGGGAGGAATAGCGTCCCATCATTGGCGTCAGTGGGAGGAATAGCGTCCCATCATTGGCGTCAGTGGGAGGAATAGCGTCCCATCATTGGCGTCAGTGGGAGGAATAGCGTCCCATCATTGGCGTCAGTGGGAGGAATAGCGTCCCATCATTGGCGTCAGTGGGAGGAATAGCGTCCCATCATTGGCGTCAGTGGGAGGAATCAGTGGGGGAGGTCGTCCCCATCATTGGCGTCAGTGGGAGGTGGAATAGCGTCCCATCATTGGCGTCAGTGGGGGGTGGAATAGCGTCCCATCATTGGCGTCAGTGGGGGGTGGAATAGCGTCCCATCATTGGCGTCAGTGGGGGGTGGAATAGCGTCCCATCATTTGCGTCAGTGGGGGGTGGGAATAGCGTCCCATCATTGGCGTCAGTGGGGGGTGGAATAGCGTCCCATCATTGGCGTCAGTGGGGGGTGGAATAGCGTCCCATCATTGGCGTCAGTGGGGGGGGTGGCGTCAGTGGGGTGGAATAGCGCCCCATCATTGGCGTCAGTGGGGGGGTGGAATAGCGTCCCATCATTGGCCAGTGGGGGGAGGAATAGCGCCCCATCATTGGCGTCAGTGGGGGGTGGAATAGCGCCCCATCATTGGCGTCAGTGGGGGGTGGAATAGCGCCCATCATCAGTGGGAGGAATATTGGCGGAATAGCGTCCCAGTCATTGGGGGTGGAATAGCGCCCCATCATTGGCGTCAGTGGGGGGTGGAATAGCGCCCCATCATTGGCGTCAGTGGGGGGCGTGGAATAGCGCCCCATCATTGGCGTCAGTGGGGGGTGGAATAGCGCCCCATCATTGGCGTCAGTGTGGGGGGTGGAATAGCGCCCCATCATTGGCGTCAGTGGGGGGTGGAATAGCGCCCCATCATTGGCGTCAGTGGGGGGTGGAATAGCGCCCCATCATTGGCGTCAGTGGGGGGTGGAATAGCGCCCCATCATTGGCGTGTGGGGGTGTGGAATAGCGCCCCATCATTGGCGTCAGTGGGGGGTGGAATAGCGCCCCATCATTGGCGTCAGTGGGGGGTGGAATAGCGCCCCATCATTGGCGTCAGTGGGGGGTGGAATAGCGCCCCATCATTGGCGTCAGTGGGGGGTGGAATAGCGCCCCATCATTGGCGTCAGTGGGGGGTGGAATAGCGCCCCATCATTGGCGTCAGTGGGGGGTGGAATAGCGCCCCATCATTGGCGTCAGTGGGGGGTGGAATAGCGCCCCATCATTGGCGTCAGTGGGGGGTGGAATAGCGCCCCATCATTGGCGTCAGTGGGGGGTGGAATAGCGCCCCATCATTGGCGTCAGTGGGGGGTGGAATAGCGCCCCCATCATTGGCGTCAGTGGGGGGTTGGAATAGCGCCCCCATCATTGGCGTCACTGTGGGGGGGTGGAATAGCGCCCCATCATTGGCGTCAGTGGGGGGTGGAATAGCGCCCCATCATTGGCGTCAGTGGGGGGTGGAATAGCGCCCATCATTGGCGTCAGTGGGGGGTGGAATAGCGCCCCATCATTGGCGTCAGTGGGGGGTGGCGTCAGTGGGGGGTGGAATAGCGCCCCATCATTGGCGTCAGTGGGGGGTGGAATAGCGCCCCATCATTGGCGTCAGTGGGGGGGGTGGAATAGCGCCCCATCATTGGCGTCAGTGGGGGGTGGGAATAGCGCCCCATCATTGGCGTCAGTGGGGGGGTGGAATAGCGCCCCATCATTTGGCGTCAGTGGGGGGTGGAATAGCGCCCCATCATTGGCGTCAGTGGGGGGTGGAATAGCGCCCCCATCATTGGCGTCAGTGGGGGGTGGAATAGCGCCCCATCATTGGCGTCAGTGGGGGGTGGAATAGCGCCCCATCATTGGCGTCAGTGGGGGGTGGAATAGCGCCCCATCATTGGCGTCAGTGGGGGGTGGAATAGGCCCCATCATTGGCGTCAGTGGGGGGTGGAATAGCGCCCCATCATTGGCGTCAGTGGGGGGTGGAATAGCGCCCCATCATTGGCGTCAGTGGGGGGAATAGCGCCCCATCATTGGGTCAGTGGGGGGTGGAATAGCGCCCCATCATTGGCGTCAGTGGGGGGTGGAATAGCGCCCCCATCATTGGCGTCAGTGGGGGGTGGAATAGCGCCCCATCATTGGCGTCAGTGGGGGGGGGAATAGCGCCCCATCATTGGCGTCAGTGGGGGGTGGAATAGCGCCCCATCATTGGCGTCAGTGGGGGGTGGAATAGCGCCCCCATCATTGGCGTCAGTGGGGGGTGGAATAGCGCCCCATCATTGGCGTCAGTGGGGGGTGGAATAGCGCCCCATCATTGGCGTCAGTGGGGGGTGGAATAGCGCCCCCATCATTGGCGTCAGTGGGGGGGTGGAATAGCGCCCCATCATTGGCGTCAGTGGGGGGTGGAATAGCGCCCCCATCATTGGCGTCAGTGGGGGGTGGAATAGCGCCCCATCATTGGCGTCAGTGGGGGGTGGAATAGCGCCCCATCATTGGCGTCAGTGGGGGGTGGAATAGCGCCCCATCATTGGCGTCAGTGGGGGGTGGAATAGCGCCCCATCATTGGCGTCAGTGGGGGGTGGAATAGCGCCCATCATTGGCGTCAGTGGGGGGTGGAATAGCGCCCCATCATTGGCGTCAGTGGGGGGGTGGTCAGTGGGGGGGTGGAATAGCGCCCCATCATTGGCGTCAGTGGGGGGTGGAATAGCGCCCCATCATTGGCGTCAGTGGGGGGTGGAAAATAGCGCCCCATCATTGGCGTCAGTGGGGGGTGGGAATAGCGCCCCATCATTGGCGTCAGTGGGGGGTGGAATAGCGCCCCATCATTGGCGTCAGGGGGGGTGGAATAGCGCCCCATCATTGGCGTCAGTGGGGGGTGGAATAGCGCCCCATCATTGGCGTCAGTGGGGGGTGGAATAGCGCCCCATCATTGGCGTCAGTGGGGGGGTGGAATAGCGCGCCCCATCATGGGGGGTGGAATAGCGCCCCATCATTGGCGGGTGGGGGGTGGAATAGCGCCCCATCATTGGCGTCAGTGGGGGGTGGAATAGCGCCCCATCATTGGCGTCAGTGGGGGGTGGAATAGCGCCCCCATCATTGGCGTCAGTGGGGGGTGGAATAGCGCCCCATCATTGGCGTCAGTGGGGGGTGGAAATAGCGCCCCATCATTGGCGTCAGTGGGGGGTGGAATAGCGCCCCATCATTGGCGTCAGTGGGGGGTGGAATAGCGCCCCATCATTGGCGTCAGTGGGGGGTGGAATAGCGCCCCATCATTGGGCGTCAGTGGGGGGTGGAATAGCGCCCCATCATTGGCGTCAGTGGGGGGTGGAATAGCGCCCCATCATTGGCGTCAGTGGGGGGTGGAATAGCGCCCCATCATTGGCGTCAGTGGGGGGTGGAATAGCGCCCCCATTGGACGTCAGTTGGCGTCAGTGCGGGGGGTGGAATAGCGCCCCCATCATTGGCGTCAGTGGGGGGTGGAATAGCGCCCCATCATTGGCGTCAGTGGGGGGTGGAATAGCGCCCCATCATTGGCGTCAGTGGGGGGTGGAATAGCGCCCCATCATTGGCGTCAGTGGGGGGTGGAATAGCGCCCCATCATTGGCGTCAGTGGGGGGGTTGGAATAGCGCCCCATCATTGGCGTCAGTGGGGGGTGGAATAGCGCCCCATCATTGGCGTCAGTGGGGGGTGGAATAGCGCCCCATCATTGGCGTCAGTGGGGGGTGGAATAGCGCCCCTCCCATCATAGCGCCCCATCATTGGCGTCAGTGGGGGGTGGAATAGCGCCCCATCATTGGCGTCAGTGGGGGGTGGAATAGCGCCCCATCATTGGCGTCAGTGGGGGGTGGAATAGCGCCCCATCATTGGCGTCAGTGGGGGGTGGAATAGCGCCCCATCATTGGCGTCAGTGGGGGGTGGAATAGCGCCCCATCATTGGCGTCAGTGGGGGGTGGAATAGCGCCCCATCATTGGCGTCAGTGGGGGGTGGAATAGCGCCCCATCATTGGCGTCAGTGGGGGGTGGAATAGCGCCCCATCATTGGCGTCAGTGGGGGGTGGAATAGCGCCCCATCATTGGCGTCAGTGGGGGGTGGAATAGCGCCCCATCATTGGCGTCAGTGGGGGGTGGAATAGCGCCCCATCATTGGCGTCAGTGGGGGGTGGAATAGCGCCCCATCATTGGCGTCAGTGGGGGGTGGAATAGCGCCCCATCATTGGCGTCAGTGGGGGGTGGAATAGCGCCCATCATTGGCGTCAGTGGGGGGTGGAAATAGCGCCCCATCATTGGTGTCAGTGGGGGGTGGAATAGTGCCCCATCATTGGTGTCAGTGGGGGGTGGGGAATAGTGCCCCATCGTTGGTGTCAGTGGGGGGGGGGAATAGTGTCCCATCGTTGGTGTCAGTGGGGGGGGGGGGAAGTGCCCCATTGTCGGTGTCAGTGGGAGGAATAATGCCCCATCATTGGTATCAGTGACACCAATGATGGGGCACTATTCCTCCCACTGACCCCTGTTCAGTATGGTGCTGCTGCAGCAAGCATATATGGTTGCAGCAGCACCTGTGCACGGCACACACTTACCTTCACTTGATTTTCGTGGGGCCGCTCGGCTCCGCCTCCTCCCCGGTGATTGGCCGCCTGTGTGCCTTTCCTGAGCTACAGTTCTGGCGGCCAATCACCGGTGAGGAGGCGGAGCCGAGCAGCCGCACGAACATCTAGTGGCCGAACTGAAGGAAGGAACAGCTGCGCTTCCTGGACCGGATCGTCGTGGGACCGGAGCCAGGTAAGAAACAGCATGTCAGCATGCCGTATACCGGCGTATAAGGCGACCCCCGACTTTTGAGAAGATTTTCAAGGGTCAAAAAGTCGTCTTATACGCCGGAAAATACGGTAGGTACTATTGGTAGTGGTAGTCTGTGAAAGCTTCAGGTGGAAACCCCATGGAAACTAGGATTTTGAGGCACTGGCAGCCAATTTGAACTCAGAGTGGGATAAAAAAAAACAAAACTTTTTTAGGTAAAAAAAAGACTAAAGATTAATCTGACCAATATACTGCATACTTTTTTTTGACGACATCCTCTATTTTGTAACATATGAGTTTCATCACATCTACTGCGAGGGTTGGCTACAGTAACGGATGCCAAAATATAAGTAAATCTCAGCTATCGAGTAATGCATTAAGATGTAATGAACTCCAGCCAAGAGTTTAGTGGCAAAGAATAGATGAAAAGAAAATTCAAATTTACTTGAAGAGGAAATCTCATTTGAGGAGAAGCCCACAGACAGGAAAATCCTCAGAGCTATTATAGACTCTGCTTGTCCATGCCACTGGTGAACTTTTAAACCTACCATACAAAATGTTGTGTGATGGCTTATGTAAAGTAAATCATCACTTTATACATAAAAATTCTCTGACACACGACCACGGTTGCACTCCTTATAAGGGCTCGTTCACACACTAGGCTGTTTTGCCAACGCTTGCCAAACACCCCTATAGCGTTTGGCAAGCGTTGGTCCGGCGTTTGCGGAGCGTTATTAACGCTCGGCAAACGCTCCGCAAACGCCGCATGCGCGGTTTAGCGGCGGTTGCTAGGCGTTTGCCGAGCGTTAATAACGCCCCACAAACGCCTATAATGCAGTTTGAGTGGCGTTACCGCTCCGCAAACGCCGCCGCAACCGCGTCGCAAACGCCGGGCCGGGCGTTTGCGGAGCGACACCATAGACGAGAATAGGAGGCTTCAAAGCCTCCTGACTCGTCCAGAGGCGTCCGTTTTGCCGCGACGCAACGCGACGCAAAACGCTCCCGTTAGAACAGCACCATGTGTGTAATGTGCAGAATTGGCAGAGGCGTTTGGGAAGCGGTAAAAACGCTTACCAAACGCCTCTCTGCCACCTGCACACAAGGCTAGTGTAGGTGTGAACGTAGCCTAAGAGTCTTGTCCCTTACACCAGTCAATCATTGCTTGCAATTTTACTTCTGAACATTGGATATGGCATGTTTCCTTTCTGATGAAAGATTGGATCATTTTAAGATAAACAAGCTGCCTGCAGGATGCATCAGAAAGCCCTACATGATCAATATCCACCTAAATGCTGAATAGGTGTGAAAGAAAATCAAGTTCCAAGATGAATGAGTCTGACCTAAATATATTTCTGCTTCATCATCCAGCAGTTCCACTCAGTCACCAAATACAAGGATGTATGTACATCCAAAAATCAGGCCACTTGAATCTAAATGGGCCCAGAGAGACCTGATCACAAAATGAATGCCTAGTTTAAATGTAAAAAGTACACATCACCATGTACATCTATTTTATAATTAATATCAATTTACACTTTCTACTGTAGGATTCTTCTTTTAGACAATTACCATAAGAATTAGACAATTGTTCTATTGCATTAATTAGAACACTTAACTACAGAGGGACAAAAAGGCGGAACGGGATCATGCACACACACCACAATATAGCTGCTTTTCTGTTCACATAAAACTAAGAAAATTAATAAGTTGTATGTAAAAAAATGCAATCATATTTTAAAAAAAAAAAAAAAAAAAAAAAAAAAAAAAGAATAAAGTACAATGTGTGTGTGAATTTATTATGATATTCATGATACCATGCCTCTTACCTACACCAAGTACATAGATTTACTGACATGTGAGTGAATGTTGTGCATTTAGGGAAGAAAATTGTAACTGAAAGAAAAAAATCTTCCACACTATATATTGTGACAAATACACTATGTTTAACCCAGATATTTCTTGAAATGTATTCCACATACCCTCACTCAATAAAGGAAATGTCAATTACCAATCTTGACAAGCTGCATCCACTGCACGCCATGTGTACCAATGGCAACCAGGGAGAAGCCAATTGTTGCTCCGACAATGCAATGCGTTCCAGAGATAGGAAGCTTCAAGAAAGATGCTATCAGCTGCCACACAGCGGAACCTGCAAGAAATAATTCTGATATCAGATAGTAATACATACGGTTTAGCGGTTACACTGGTAAATTCCCCCCACAATCAACATGCTAATGAAATGTTCAAACATATCCTCTAGGTTTCCATTACATACTTTATTTTAGACCCAGTGACATCATAACTGGTTCTCACCATTTCTCTATGCAATGCAAGCAGAATATGGCTTGTGAGAGGGGCCAGCAAGGTGGTGAAATCATCACAGCACCCTGTCTCAGTACTTCTCTCAAGAGCCATCAACCCTGATACACGCAAGGTTCTAGCTCTTGGGATGAGTTATGCAGATATCAAAATGTCTTGATGGATGGATGTCAGTCAGGAGGAGTATACTTTGCTAGGCAGACTGTATTTGCATCTAGTCTCCACTAGGTAATGACCACATAAGGGCATCCATTATTGCAAGAGCTGAAATCCAATACATGAAAAGGACAGGCCAGGGACAATAAGGCTGGGAAGGAAAGAGTTAGATAATACTGGACATCCTCCAGACAAAATAAGTCAGGCTCTGCCTGAGTTGCTACAGCTTTTAAAGTACATTTTAAGAAGGTCACATAAAGAGTAAGCAATTTTAAGAGCCTGTACAACTGTGCAAAGTAGGTTGAAGGTGAAGGCTGGAGTTCCATTTTAAAATGGAAAATATAATGATTACAGTAAGTTGGTTTTTTTTTTGTACTTTTTACCAGAAAATACTTCTTGATGCAATGTTTAGATTTTCTCCTTTTCACTCAGGGAGGAACTGTAAAGGCCCATAGAGATAGTCACCAAAACTAGCCAATAGCTTTATGTTCCTCATCTGCTGGGCACAGCATTAAAAAAAATAGTGCTGCAGCATCTGAACAGCTTTGCCTGAAATTATGACAGCTGCTATGAATTGTATTCTACTGTTTCACTAGCCTTTAGAGCTTGTTCACACATGTAGCTAGGTGTGGTAAAGACATGGTTTTATCGCCCCCCCCCCCCCCCTTAACCTTACACAGAGCCAGAGGGAGAAGTACGCATACTGCAGCAAAAATTATAACCCTTCTAAGGTGCTCTGGTGGGGGCTTTTCATGGTTAAAAACAGGATGTGGGGAAGCTACACATTGCCTCCCAGCCACCTGTCAAAAGCCCTCTGAAAAGGAGAGGCAAGGGTTGCCACCAGTATAGACGAGCCTTAAAAAAAAAAAAAATAAATAAATAAAATCATGGCAGTAGACTTTAAAGCAAAAGCGATATTGCACTCTAATGTTTTGTGTATGAAATTTAATCATGCAGCAATACTAAGCTGAAAGCACTGACTGCATAGGAATAAGCATTTATGACTGCCATCAAATCTGTAGGAGTAATATCAGAATGAAGCCATCACCAGCAGGATGCATGGGGATTTGTGAAATATTATCTTTGCCATCTGAATATTCCTATGTGAAGGTTTGATGATGGGAACTCAGATGATGCCATTTCAGGAGCAGCACAATAATGTCATTACTTTATGTGCACATAATCCTACAACAATGAAGCAAAGCTACACTTCTTCAATCCAGGCACTTTTTTTAGTTGTTGACAGAGAGGTGAATAATGGGAATCTCTATGACAGGGCTACTGAATTAAAATTCATGGAAGTCCAGCCAGTAAAATATTCTTCCAGATCACGTTTGTGCGATGACTCATTGTTCACATCACAACCCCCCCTCCTCTTACACCAAGTTTACATGAAATCTAACGTGATCTTGACCTGCATAGAAATGTGCTGCACTTTAGTGAACATGCAAGAGTGCCATTCATTCTTAAATGCACCCCCACACATCGCCACCTATGGCAAACGTTCGCATGCACCAAACTGCATGGTGCTGAAGCAACGTGAGGCTTGGTGCAGCACGAAAAAAAAAAAAAAAAAAAAAAAAAGGCCAGGGACTCTCTCACATGTAGAGTTGCCCTTTGGGCTGCCCTACCTACAACGTGCATGCACGTCCTCTTCACATTACGGTGCTCTGGCCCCATTGCTGTCCTTCGCCCCCCCATTACTGTCTTTGCTGCCCTAAGCCCCCTAAAACTGTCCTAAGCTCTATCCTCAGTGTCCTTGACCTCCCCATATTTCTCCTCAGCTCCCCATTACTTTAGGTCCCCCATATACCGGTCCTCAGTGCCCCCCCAATAACTGTGCTTATCTCCCCATCTTACTGTTCTTGGGTCCACTGTCTTAAGCAGCCTCTCTTCACATTGCCTCCCTCCTGTCCTATATTACACAGGCAGGGCAGAGAGCAGGAGGGACAGCTGGCCTGGACAGTGGGCAGGAGCTGCAACCAGCCAATCACCTGCTTGTTAAATCAGGAAGCAAACCCTTCATCATGAGAATGACAGTAGTGACAGCTGCAGGGCACAACAGTCTTCTGAATGGCGGGAACGCAGCGGTCTAGACAAGACCGTGAGTTGGTCCAGATGCGGACGGCAGTCCACCATTTAGCCATGCCTGCTTTAGAGGTTCTACATAATGGTGCACCGAAAATTTTGCCGATACCGAAAATTCTAAATGCACTTGGTCGAAAACCAAAATGCGCAGTTTTTAAAAATGAATAAATTTTTTGGGAAAAAAAAATACACTGATTAAAAATAAAAAAAAATATATAGATATAATTTTTTTTTTTTTTTAAAATCAGTGTATTTTTTTCCCCCAAAAAATTATTCATTTTTAAAAAAACTGTGCATTTTGGTTTTTTATATATAAATTGGGATATATATATATAAATTGGGATATATATATATATATATATATATATATATATATATATCCCAATTTTTTTGGGAAATATGAAAGAGGATATTACAGTGAGTAAAATAGATACCAAACGTGTCACGCTTTAAAATTGCGCACGCTCGTGGACTAGCGTGACACCGCAGTACCTAAAAATCTCCATGGGTAATGCTTTAAAAATTTCTGCAGCTTAGTAGTGTAAAGTTACAGAGGAGGTCTAGTGTTAGAATTATTGCTCTTGCCGACGTTCGTGGCGATACCTCACGTGTGGTATGAACACGGTTTACATATGTGGGCACGGCCTACGTATGCGTTCACCACTGTGTGCGAGCACGCGGGGGCACTTTAAACTTTTTTTTTAAAAAAAATGTATTTAATGTTTTATTGTTTTGTTTTTTGCACTGTCCCTTTAAAAAAATTTTAATCACTTTTATTCTTATCACAAGGAATGCATGCATCCCCTGTGATAGAAATAATCAATAACACCCCACATCTCTCCTCTGCAATGCAAAGCATTAGAGAGAAAAAAACCAAAAAAAAAAAAAAAAAAAAAACCAAAAAAACCACATTGATCTAGTGCTTAAAAAAAAAAAAAAAAAAAAATGACTGAAACGGGAAGGGACATCACTCTGGTCCTCCAAGGGCATAGAGTGGCAGCCATCTTTCCTTCACTCATCTCTATGCCCAGCACCAGGATCGATGGTTTCTCAGGCAAGGCTGAGAACTACCGAGCGGCGGCCGGTGGTGGCGAGGGGCAGGTTTTTCCCGCACCTGTATCAGTGCTTTTTTTTCATTCAGCCAACGGCCCAAAGGGGTGTTTTCGTCCGCAACGTTTTGGCCACCGAAATTTCCGTGCATCCCTAGTTCTACAGCCATCCAAAGCTCTGTTGAAGAGATTTATCTTTACTTTCTGTCATGACCTTGATTTCACCAGACAGAAAGTGAAGGAAAAATCTGCATAATGAAAGAAAGCTCATAGAGGAAGAATGTTCTGGTGTGTTTTTTTTTTTCTGTGCTGCCACTATAAACTGTGTGTATGAAATCAATTTATTAGCAACAGATGCAAAACACTGGAATTTCAGTTGTAGGGTGATTTGGGAACTCAAATCGACAGAATGTTTTCTTGTTTTTGAAACCCACATTAAACAAAAGTTAGAGATTCCCATTTGCTTCAATAGTGCAGTATAGACGGTCATTGTGAGGATTTGTTTGACCCGAGTTTGCATTGTAGGCAAAACAGATCAAAAAGACAACACTGCTGTATTTTTAATTTAAAAGATTACTTCACCTATTTAGAAAAAATAAATAAAACAAAATGAATACATTTTTTTTCCTGCATAAATTTCTGCATTTTTTTTCCTGCAGGAGCCTGGAAAGCATTGCACCTATGATCAATGGATCAAGGGTGCAATGCCAGGCTTCAGCAGATAAGCCCTGCAGCTTTCAGCCCAAACCTCTATACAGACTGTCAGCTTGAAAGCTGAAGGGCTTGTGAATGAACTGCAAGGGTGCTCATCTGTGACCTCACAGTCCATTCTGAACTATAAGCCATCTGCTGCAGTGGCTGATGGTACTTGTAGGTAATTAATTCAAAGGAAACTGTGAATGAATGACATGGTCATAGGAGTGGAGACCCGCAAACAGGGCTATTTTTGAATTGTGACAGTGAGAAGATCCCCTGCTCACTGTCACAAGGGGGGTGGGCTTGGAGGAAGAGGCAGCAGGAGTAGGTTACATTTTCCACACCTTAAGTACAGGAGGAACATGCAACATTCTCCAAAAAGGTGAACTTGTCCTTTGAGAGCTCTTGCCAGCTCTTACACAGGCCAGCACAGCCAAAGATGGCACAGGGGCCTGAGGAAGAAAAGCAGCAAAAAGAATTAAAAATGTATCCACAATATTCATGCTAGATTATATCTTTAAAATAATATGATTTGTAGGCTAAAGCATTAAAAAGTATCCTGCATGCAACAGAACACAAAATATTTATCCTTAGAGGCCACAGGTCCCTGTGAACTTTTCTAGAAAGTTCAGTGAAAAGGGATAAAAAAACAAAACAAAAAAACAAAACAAAAAAAAACAAAACGCAAACATTCCTTTCCCAAACTTGTCCCTCTTTCTCTATTCTAATTCTCTAGTCATCATTTCAAATGCCTTTACTATAAAAAGGCATAATATTACTCCAATTCTAAGACTCATTTATTGGCTCTAATGGTCAGTATATTGCATTAGACTAAGTATTT